ATCCTTGATAACTTTTAAAATGTAATGAAAATTTAGAAGAAAATCAAGTTCATTCAGGCCCATATGATCTTGAGAGCGTACTGCTGCTGGAAATTTAAGGAAAAGACGTACACTACATACCTTGAACACGATTGTTGAAGAATGCCAAGAGAAGAACAGAACATACCAAAAAATTCTTCATCTTAGTGAATTGAATTTAACATGCACCGGACGCCGGCTACATAAAATAAATCAGATCCTGTTGTCGCGACTTTAAGTTTAAAATTTTATCCCACATGAAAGCGGAATAAAGGCGATTGCTAAATGTAGTTTAAACAACTGTTGTCAATATTCATCAAACATGACAAAGTAAGAAAAGGCTGCGAAATCAAATTGGTCTCGTTTAGCTACATTTATAGTTTAAGTCAATAAATGACATGTAAATACAGGCAGAAGAATCAATAGTTCTGTTGTTTTTGAGGAAAAAAGTTTCATTTTGATTGATTAATGTTTACCATTTTGGCATTTTAATTTTGCTATTTAATTCTTATACTGAATTAATGATTTAATTAAGATTCATTTTATAGAATTTATATCTACAGTTAACTGAATTTACCTAGCCTGGCAGAACCTACTAGTCTGGTAGTACTGGGTACATAAAAATCTCCAAGGTCATTAGGTCAATAGTCCTGCATTAGTATTTCTGAGGGCCCATAGTTTTACTCTTGCACAATAAAATAATTCTAACACTGAAAACCGACTACCCCTCAAATTCAGTTTTACTTTCATCAGTCTCGGTTGTTGAGGGCTAAGTCGCTGAAGCAGTACATGTTGGGGTTATAGACTTATAGCTTGATAAACAGGATCGAAACTATATACTGACGAAGACCTGCATAACACATTATATATACTTACCCTATGACTAAAAACCTCGTATGTAAAATTTTCAGATACGTTTTTATTCAGCAGTCTTGCTTCACATGAATCAGCCAGCAGTTGCTATAAATGAGTAATGAGCCGAGTCTGGGCTAAAGTTCCTTGTTGAGTATTATATCCTGCTATTGTTATAAATTACAGTGAAATGTATTTCCTGGTATAGCTACCAGTATATAGTCATGTGAGTTTCCAGTATTGATATACACACATTATGGGATGTCGACATGCCCCGACAGATCTACTAAATGTTTTTCGGTTTTGTACATCATGCACTTCCAGAGAAAAAATCAATTAGTTTATGCCGGAAGTCTCATGTTTATGTAAAAAATAAAAAAGTTGAGTTGACTCATGCAGTATTAGGTGGACTTAGGTAGTGGGACTGGAAGGCAAATTTAACTGAACGATGGACAGGAGATTAGAATATATTATATGAGTTAAATATATATATATATATATATATATATATATATATATATATATATATATATATATATATATATATATATATATATATATATATATACACTGTGAATTATAAACTGCGGAACTGTACGAGTTATAACCTCATTTTATAAATGGCTGACATTTTATAAATGACAGCTAACTTGTTAAACTTGTGCCTTCGAAAAATATTGGTGCTTTCAAAAGGGAACAAAAGGAACACTAATAATGAGTCAAGCCAACTAATTTGCCATTGACCTTCCATGTCTGTGGCTTTATGGTCGCGCTATTACTAGACATACAGTATATTGTAAGTTTGTAACGACCTCCTCTTAGGCCTAATTCATATATATGATAAATAGATTCGAGTGCTTTCTTGGTGAGAGTATCACATGAAAAGCGTACGTTTCCGGAATAAAACATTAATTACTGATTTCCATATAGGAACATGTTATATAGCATGATTTTTCTTGGAACAAGTCCGTTGTTATGCAGGAATATTTGTTCTATTCTGCGTCACATGACATGCATTGACTCTGGGCTTCTCGGTGCATCACATGAGGTGTCAAGACAGAGGTAAGCGGGTTTAAAATAGTCACGACATCATTGGCATTTTGGGCGAAGCGCATGCAGGTATACGACTATATGATAATGAGAGTATAATGATTGTGGGAATAGAACTTGTGGATAAATTATATTAGATGACGCTACACCGAGTAACTTTACAGCGAGTAATTATAAGCTGAATACCCCAATGCAATCAATCCTGCGACCTTTATAGACTAATTAGCTTCATTAGTTGATATTTTGGAACTGAGTCTAGTTAATATCTTATGATTTTATGAATTGTGTGGAATCGCTCGGAAAAGCGTCATCAGATATAATTTACCGAGCTCTATTTCCACAATAATAAATTGAATAATGATGGGATATACAGTGATATCGATGAAGAAACCTAGCGCGTTAAGCTCCGAAGTATCACCTACTCGATCCGACTTGACTTGAATGACTTCTTTGAGCCGATTGGTACAGCATTGGACTAGTACATCCAAATGATCCAAACAAAGATAGCGAGTTCGAAATAAATTATTTTTCGGTTTAGCCGGTATATGGAGCCACACGAAGTAGTGTCATCAGTGGCGTGCTGGCGGGGGGCGGGGGGGGCACGCCCCCCCCAGCAATTCTTGGGGGCGCAGAAATGAAAACGGGGCGCCGATTCCGCCGAATTTTGAAAGTGGGTGGGGAAAAACGCATTTGAAAAAATATAGTTACTTCCACCAAGAAAAAATGTGTTTATAGGCTAATAAACAGACTGAGCGCATAGGCGACAAAGTGATATATTAAATTACAGACTATTTTGTCTAACCAGCCAGTATTGCTACCTCACACGAAATCGTTCATATAGAAACATGATCAGTGATCACACGCAATGTCGCATTACCGGAATATTGGTCAGGTTTCGAAGCGATCACGGGAATTATGCCCTTTTTTGCTGGTATTATACCCTTATATTATGCCTTTATTATGCTTCACGAATCACGAGAGCGGCGCAAATTAGATAGTTATGATAATGTAAAGTTGTGTACGCAATTTAGTTGTTTGCGCAAGAAACATCACGACTCATTGAGTAATGTGAGTTACCTTAAACCTTAAAGGTGATCTACAGTCCGATCTGCGCATGTGCACAAATGAGCCCACTTTTTATGATACAAACAGTTTAACTATGTTTTGAGTTCTTGAAAAGCCTGATTGTTGTTTCTTGATCATTTATTATACTCTAGAAGCTTGAAAATATAAATAGTTGTCGAATAAAGCTCAATATTTTGGACACAAAAATGTAAACAAAGGCTTCGTTTACATACGGACTGTAGATCACCTTTAAAATGCATGGTGTACCACTGACATCGACTCGCACCGATGTGCAGACGAACAGCTCAACTTTGCAGAATCTTTTCAAAAATTGAAGTGTTCAGTGATTTTTGATGAAGACAAAGAAGAAGAGAAAGATTCTGATTTAGACTCCGGTTCTGAATCTGAAACCGAAGACCACAAAGAAGAAACCGACAGCGAGTCAAGCGACGACGGAACTGCTGAAGAACCAAAGGACAAGGATAAACAATCATTTCTAGAAGCTCTGAGAATTTTGTTGAATCCTGATTACCACCAAGTTGATGCATTTCCAACTCTTTGTAAAGTTTACGCGATCGCAGTTGCAATTCCAATCAAACCCGCACACGTTCGTCTATGTCTAAAAAAAAACTTGAAGCGTTGCTACTTATGACCACTGAACGGAAGATTTTAATGTCTTTGGAAAAGGAGCAGATTATTACCGCCTTGGAGGTCTGACATCAGAATTGTCGAAGGTGCTTATATGAAAATGTTTAGAAATGCTAGAAATCGACAATCGTTATTGAAACATTAAAGACATTGGAGAACATCGATCGATCGATATGGGCAATATTTGACGTTATCAACATTCGATACAATACGTGATATATAGTACTAACTATCAAGTGATGTACTGTATAGTATTAACTCTTTTTGTATGTTCTGACAAAAAACATGACAGATTCGTATCAATAAAGTGCAAGCACACTTTTTAGTAAAACATTACAAGTTATTAGTGTGATCGGCGTTTAATATAAATCAAAATATTTTATACAAATATACTCAATGAGTGACTTTATTCCTCTATAATTAATCTAAAATAAAGATTTATAGTAAAACTGAAATTTTAACCAAATTGCAAATTTCGACACGTTATAATCTCGTTTCCTGACCATCAGATTTCTGTCAAATCTTCCCCCAAAGTCCAGGAAATGGCATTTCAGAGATTCTAAATTTAAAAATTTTCCGGGGGCATGCCCCGGACCCCCCTAGGAACAACTCGCACCTGCGGCGATTGGCTCGTGCCTTCGGCCCTCGTTTATCAAGCGTTACATTATAGGGGCGCATATTGGTTGATAGCTCACTCAGAAAAATAGTACCCAGCACGCCACTGGGGTTATTCGTCTTGTTTTACACAAAGACTGATATCTTTCATATATTATAATACTGACAATCAGATGATGTACTATTTAAAACACGAGAAGGAGCGTTTTATCATATTTAAAACGCGAGGCGCAGCCGATCGTTTTAGATATGATAAAACGCGAGTTCGAGTGTTTTGAATAGCTTAAAATACGACTACAAAAGAATACTAATTAGGATGAACAATTATATAATCATACTAATTAGGATGAACAATTATGTAAAGAATACTAATGAAGATGAGTTTTATCAGATATAAAGTCACTCCACGTGACATATCATGACTGGCATGATTTGCCATAAGGGACCACAACTACCTCTCAAATTCTTAATACGCATTTGATTGGCTAATCGGCTAGATTAAATGTATCTGATTGGTTAGTGGTAGCGGTAGTAGAAATCAACATCTGAATCTATTATAATAGACAGTTGTGTCGTTTTATTTTGTTTGCAACTTTGAATACATCATTGTTGCAGTATATAATTATTTGCTGCTGTGGTTTGTTTCTGCAATTTTAAAAAATCTTTTTAGGTAACGGTAGTTCAGGCACAGACCACGGAAGGCAATATACTAACGAATGTGCACGTCCATCTCATAATTCTATTATTTTTGTTGTTATCTAGGACAATAATGCAGAAATAAACGAAGTATTCTACGTCAATATCACTGCCGTTCAACTCCTCAATTCATATTCTCTCCCTCCTGAATATTCTCCGCGTATAAACCCATCCAGTCAAATCGCCAAGGTCGTTATCTCGGAGAATGATAACAGACGGGGAGAGCTGAACTTCAATATCAGTCATCTTTTAAATCCTAGGACGGGGATAATCAGGGTTAACGAGGATATTGGGGTAGTACGGGTACCCATTGTGCGTACAGGGGGTACATATGGTGCAGTTGGTTTCGAGTACCGTCTTGTCCCCTATACAGTTAACGACAACGACTACAGCCCCACGAAGGGTGAAGTACTATTTCAGGCTAACGAGACCACTCGTGTTTTGGTTATTAATATAACTGACGATGACACAGCGGAGGTTTCCGAGAGCTTCCGACTAGAGATGACACAACCGATTGGCGGCGCGAAACTCGGAGCTCATCGGGAAGTTACGGTCGAAATAAGAGCCAGCGATCAACCTTATGGAGTGTTTGAGTAAGTAGTGAGTCAAAGGATAGACACAGACGCACGCTTTTCTAAATTATATGCCTACAAAACTAAACTAACTTTATTTTATACTGGAAGGCTCTATCTGTTCTAAACTGTTCTCCCTAGAGGTCCAGTAAGGGCATTAGTCCAGAGTTGCTACAGGAGGAAATCTAAACTAACTGTGTTTATACTATTTCTGCACTGTTCTCCCTAGAGTAAGTATCATACATTATTGATCCCGTGTAACTGAAGGAGGAAACCGGAATCCTGGAGAAAATTATAACCAAACTATGTTCTATTGGCAACTTTAAAATATGATGTTTAGGAATCGATGTTTTATGTGTTTTGATGCAAATGTACTTTATTTTCAGGTTTTCATCTCCTCAGACTGTTCTAATAAAAGAGGGTAATGAAGTTCGTCTGACTGTTGTGAGATTGCAAGGCAGTTTCCGGGAAGTTCGTGTTTCTTGGAATATCAGTGTTGACGCTTTTCCCGATATCTCTCCAGCCAATGGCACGCTCACGTTTTATGATGTAAGTATGGAATATTTCACGAAAAATGGGCGGACTCACCAATTGAAAATAAAATTTAAAATTTATTGAAATAGCTTTTTTTGCTCGCTAATTTTTATTATCTGCTGAATAGAACGTCACCAGTCAAGTAATTCGAATACGAGCCCGCAATGACGATATTCCAGAGGGTGATAAGATGTACGAGTGTTACTTGGTGTCTGCTGATAATGGTGGTGTCATTGGTAGCGACAGAAAGATCAGAATACGTATTGATGCTAATGATGATGGTTATGGTATAATGGCTATAGATCCAGCCACATCGCTGGTGTATGTTGGCGAGCCTGATTTACGAGCTTATAATGGAGAAGTTGTGGTTAGGTAGGTTGAGAAATGTATTGACAACTGTGAGGCCCTAGTAAGGTTATTTTTGTTGCTTTAAATTCTATTTTACTCGATTCTGATTGGTTAAAATCCGTGCCCGATTAAACATTAATCGGCTCGGTACAGTTTTCACAGTGTGCCAATTAAAGATTAAGGTATGGTTACTTGCTGCGATTTCTCATGTTCTGGCGTACGAAAATTTCTGCTGACGCCAATATTCCTCTTCGTTCAGTTTACAGCGAAATTTGAAATGCAACCACTTTATGCGTGCTCATTAAATTACATACGCCAGAATACGAATCGTGCACGACAAATCGCAGCGTGTAAACGTACCTTTAATCGGCAGAAATACGAGCCCGCGCACATTCCGCACGCTGATGTAGTGCGGAAATTTAAACACAAAATCTAAATAAACCACTTGAAAATTTATATTTTCTGAGCTGTAATTTTGCAATGAGCTCTTGAACAGAAAAGAAAGATGAAATAAAATTCTTCACAGTTTTTACCGGAAAATTACTCTTAAAATTGATCACAAAGGCGCGTATGGCTGTGCTCGCTTGAATATATTTATAATACAATGTTTCTTGTCATCGATTGGTCGCAAACTAGACTATAAAATGATGTTAATAGGAAATTACACTTGCTCTCGAAGTATTAATGAAAAATCACACTTGCGTTTGGCGAAATATTTATAGTATAAATATTTCGCCAAACACGCGTGCGATTTTTCATTAATACTTGTCGAACTGTGTAATTTCCTATACTAATGTATTATATTTTCTCTTATTTAGTATAATCCGTAAAGCCGGTTCATACGGAGAAGTTCCAGTGGACTGGGAACTAACATCAGATGAGTCTGTATCTGGTCAAGTGGCTGAGACTTTCAACGTGACAGGAGGAACAGTCATGTTTGGTGATGGCGTCAGAATTAAAAACATTACACTGCAGGTGAGTAAGAAATCGTTGAACCTACACAAAAGACTAACGCATTTCTAACTAGAGGGCACTCGGAGACTGCATACCTAAGGCTGAAGTTTAATGAGGTTTATCATCTCATTATTGTCTTAGTACTGCGTGCATACATTATACACGTCCTAATTACGCATTCAGTAAGTTTTTTTTAATTGACCGGGAAAAGCAAGACAAAATTTTGTTCATTTCTCGTTCAATTTTTAACCAAATTCAACCAAATTTTAATCAACTCTTCCTTAGCCGATGGGAAATGCATTCAAAAAATTTCGTATGAATATGTTTGGTATTTCTTGAGTTATCGTGCTCACAGACAAACACACATACACACACACATACACACATACAAACCCAGATGATTACATAACCTCCTGGCGGAGGTAATGATATCTCATGCAAATACGGAGGTCGAGTGTAGGTAGTATTCTACAATATAAGCTGCCAAGGTTTGTGTCTGAACTACCTGAATAAGACATCTCAAATGCAGAGATCCAGTGAATAGGTCTGAATACTGGTGGGTACTGATTTCCTGATGAGAGGCCTTCAATCATCGAAGTGCTTTTAATTCTGGTTATAAATACAAACCACGGTAGATTAATTTGTGTTAGTCTAGTTTAACGATCGTGTTTATATTAGTGAAATTATTCCTCTCGTCTGGGCAGTTTCCCTCCTTTTTGTGTTTACCAAATAAACAACCCCTAAAACATGTTATTACTTTTCATAATGTCCTTCAGGTGAAGCAAGACACCTACCCCGAAGAGACTGCAAACTACACCTTACGTCTAGTTGGAACACGTGACGCACGCATCGACCAGTCAGCTTCGCTGGCGTCCGTTGTCGTTGTGTCCAGCGATCATCCTTACGGTATCATTGACTTTGTTGGAGCAACGTCCTACAATATTTCAGAAGACGTTGGTCTTCTGACTTTGAACGTTGTTCGTAATAAAGGGCACACTGGAAGACTGCTGGTCATGATTAACGTCGCCTCATCTGGTGCAACTGAAGGCGTGGACTTTGAAGTATCACCAAAAGGTTTGATTATTGTATTTTATTTTTGAACCCACTACACAAAACTAACTGTATTTATACTGGATAGCTCTATCAGTTTTTATTTTGAGGTTTAATAAAGCCCTACGAATCTAGTGTT